TTATTATTTCCTTTGAAAAAACATTTATCAAAATAACAGGTGACGGCTATGTGCGCCCTCGTGTGGACAGTTACAGTGCTGCAGTAAGACTAAAAATCGCTCTGCTTTAACTTGAGAGCTTTGCACTCGACACAGCTTTTTGTGTTAACAACCGACAGAGCTGTCGATGTTTTATTTGGGGAAGGGGTTTCGGAGCTCTTGTTTCGCAGGGCTGGTTAAATGAAAGCCCAGCCGCGTCCCGCTCACCCGTCAGGCAGCCCTTCACTGTCTGCAGTAAAAGCCTTTGTCAAAACAATCCCAACGAGCTTCAGACGTCCAGAAACCCAAGGGATATTATCTTGCACACAATAAAATAACATTGCTCTGCAGAAAAAGACGTGCTGTTAATGGAAACTCTCCCCTGGCTACACGTTGGAAATTGGAAACACTTTAATAAAAGCTTTCAGGAGTATTTATACTGTGATTAAAATGTGGTTGTTAGAATTCTGTTTGGAGGGGCACAGTGGTGCAGTGGTTAGCAGTGAAGCCCTTAATTCTGGACCTGGGGTGCTCTTTGTGTAGAGGTTGTATGTTCTCCCCTGATTCACAGGGGTTTCTTATCACAAACGTGTGTCTGAATCTGTCTGCCCTGCGCTGGCCTGGCATCTCGTCCAGGGTGCCCCCTGTCTCGTGCCCACTGCTTGCCAGGACAGGCTCCAGCTCCCCTGCGGGCCGTTAGAAAGTGACCGGATGGAAGGATACTGTTAGCGCGACTCCTAAGGAGACACTAGGATGCAGAGGAGTGTGGGAAGTTGCCTTCACCCTCCCCACAGGGCTGGGGGCCCAGTTCTGCGGAGCTGGGGGCTGCCAGCACAAGTGTCTGTCTGGATTTGCTGAAGCACTGCAAGGGCACTGACGCCTACTGGAATTGACAAGATGCCATAGTGGGCATCAATGTGGCCTGTAGCTTGTAAGGCTGTTGGCAGTTTATCTCCAGACTCTGAGGTGGCACGACTCTACAGGGCTGTGTTTGTTTCATTCATGGCTAGGATCGGCAGACATAAGGAGACAGAACGATTTGAAGCCAGTTTGGTTGGTTGATAGATGAATCAGATAATAAAATATCCACCTTGGGGCACATACCGTGTCCATTCAGGATCATGGAATTTAGATAAAGCCATGTAGAAGCGTAAAACAAGGGACCATAGTCTTTTGCTTTTTCAGAATGCTAGGGAGAGCTGTGTCATCTGAAGAGCTGCTTTGCAAACACTTCAATTAGTATTAACGAGCTTTGTTCATCTTTGCATCACGGCCAGCAAACTACCAGCACAAATGTCTTCTCCTGCCTGTCCTGATGTCTGTATTGTAGAAGTGGTTTAGCAGAAGGCTGATCTCCTCCGGCACCACCCCACCCCCACACTGTCCCTGGGCTCAGCCTGGCAGCCTGGGCAAAGCAACTGCAATCCAGTCCAGAGACACAGGTGAAGCATTGAGCAGTGACAGTCGCTCCTGCTCCTGAAGGGCTATTCCGCTCCAGGTTATTAAGGTGATTTATAATCCTCATGAACTTGAACTTTGAACTTTATTGCCATGTGTAACCGGTACATGTACTGGTACAATGGAATTCTTCCTTACAGAAAGTCTCTTGATTGTTAAAAAAAAGTGTAAAACACAAAGTGCAGACAGTGCATCAAGACAATATACAAACAAACAGTAGACAATGTACAAGTAAACAAGTAAACAGTTCGAATGTAAACAATGCAGACATGTAAACAATGCAGTTAAGAGCTAGAAACAGTAGTTATAGAAATTAATTAAGTGAACAGTTGATTGCTGTAAAGTCATTGCTAGTCAAGGGGAAATGAGTATTTCTTGACCGGGACTAAAGATCAGTGATATAGAGATTGAGGCTGAGTCTGTGGTGACAGAGAGGATGGATCCTGAAGAGCTCCACCCAGGGCGTATTGAAAGTTGGCTGTACAAGTCAGAGAACTGCATCGCGAAACCTGCGTAGCAATGAAATTCTGGAGAGGAAAGGAAACGTTTCTGCGGGGAAAAAAAATGTACGCTCAAGAGCACCCCAGCACCTCTATTGTCCACAAGAGGGCGCATCGAGACAAGTAAACCTCTAAGCGTCTGTACCTGGAGAGTCTTGTAGGTACAATCCTTTTCTCTTTCTTACATTAACGCCTGTGCCAACTTGGGAGAGAGAAGTGGATTTTGGAGAACTTGCTGCCTTCCTCATTCCTGACTGGATTTTAATGCTTAGACTTTTTGCACCAATAGATTCCTCTGTATGACTGGTAATATCATGCACTGTGGTAGAATTATCTGCTGTAAGAAGGATGATTGTAATTCTTTTAAAAAAAAAGTCACCCCACCTTCTTAAGATATTTAGGAAATGAAAAATGCTGCATGATAGGTTATGATTGTTTAATTTGTTTACAGATGTGTATACCTGTTTGGTCTTTATGCCATAACTAGGGTCTGTAGACTAAATCATGCTGACATTCTAGCAGTGTGCTGCGGAGGGAGTATCACCAGGGTGTATGAAGAATATTTAACATTCACTTTCCTGCTGAAGGGACCAGAGCTCTGTCAAGCACAGCTAATTAGCCATTGACTGAGTTTTGAGTCTTCAGCCCCGAGATAATTGAGAGAGTTTGATTGCTGTGTGTCTTTCAGTAACACTCAGTGTCTAAGCTTGGATGTACGTCTTTTTCATGTCCATAA